TATGTAATGATGGGGGGTGGGGGTAGGATGAGTCATGATTGACGCATCAATACTCAATAGAGAGAGAGATGCGTGGGGTGGATATATTATAGTGGGGTATATATAAATTGGTATATTAAAAAATATATATCTTAAATATCACATGATTTGTAAAATTAAAATTAATCCTCTTTATTTTTTGAATAGTATACATATTATGTAGAGGTTTGGGTAATTTCTCCGGTGAATCGAATAATTAACTTTTAGTTTTGAAAAACTGGGTAACTAATAAAAAAGTTAAGCCAGATATTTAGGAACTTAATTAAAAGATATATGTAGGGAGAGTGAATCGTTCATTTGATTTGTACTAAAAAATAATCATTATCTTTCTGTTTATATGGACAGAGCTACAAATCTTGATCACAATTCTGCAATTCAGAAAGGATACGAGTCATAATTGTCTTCTGCCAAACGTCTCATCAAATTTCACGACGACTACATTTTGCTATCATTCACGTCTATACGAACAATCGTCCTGTGAAGTTGTCACTATTCTTCATGATATCAGTATTAAGAGTCGAGTTGTTTCTCACATCTTAGGTGAATGCATATCACATGAACCGATTGCGATTATACGATATAAAATTAGTCAGAATCATAATTACATTTTGTTAAACAACTCATTCAAGATCACGACGATGACATACATTCACAAGGTATATGGAGTTACATGCCCCCATAATAAAAGACATACCATAACGTCAATATTTTTTCTTACTGCAGCAATGTCTAGCCACAATTTGTAGAGATTCCAATTGCTGATGCTGTCGGCCACTGTGTTTTTTAAGAAAAAAATAATTAAATTTCTATATCATACGGATATATTAAAAAGAGGATTTCATATATCTATCTTTTAGTTCTTTATGGAACCTACCAAATCGGTTACAATACATAATAATCTAATTTCTTATTATTTTGAAATGACCTGTTTTTTCAGTTTTACAAAACTATTTCTCATTTCTCAAAATGTAACGGTAATTATAAGAATTGTCAGTTTTATAATCATTAATTCATTATGGTCCAATATCTAGAGACTGTCTGGGATAGATTAAAATCAGCTAAAGAATTGCTTTTCATACCGTTGAACAAAGTAATGGTCAAAATATCCAAATTTGCTGCAGATTTTTGTGTCTATGTGTCAGATTTTAACGGGCAAATAATCAATTTCTTGGAATGGAAATCACGCCCAGACAAGCACCGAATACGTTGATGGAGTAATATGTTGAAGAAGTGATAATAACACAATGCACTTTCGTGCAAGAGAGAACTCGTCTCCACTATAAAGACTAGTGAGAGAAAATATATGGATGTAGACAAATTTAAATTAGGCGATTCTCAAGTTTTGTCAACAAATTTTATATAAATATCCAATTTAATCCTTAATTTTGAAAAGTGTGTTTTATTTGAATATTAATCTCCCATTCAATCTATAGATTAATTTATGCATGCAGCATTTTTTTCCTAGGTGCTCATTTCGTATGGGCTTTTAGTTTGATGTTTCTACTCTTAAATATGATTGTTAAATATATAGTTAGCCTCTGTTTGAGTTATATTAAAATTTTCATTCTCATTTTTTTACTCATTTTCAACCACACATTCTTCATCAACCTACTATTCCAAAATTCATTCTTCCAAAATAATGTGGCTCAAACACACCCTTATTGTGAATTTGATATAAAATTGTTGAATATTTATGAAAATAAACAACTGTAATTTTCAATGGGTGTTAATCTTTAAACGAAATGAAATGTAAATAATTAATTAATATTAAATTAAACGTCTCTGTATATAAATTGAGAATTGCGAAAAAAAAAAAAAGAAGATATGCTAATTCTTTTTTGTTATGTGAGTGTTGAGTTTTTTAATAAATTAACTTGATCTGATAATTAGCAGTTTAATTTGGTGTATTTGTATATGATAATAGTTGTCGGGTTACCATTTAAATTGACCGTAACAATTTTCTAAATATTCGTCTCATATATGCAACTCCTTTATTGATAATTGTGAAAAGGGGCGGACGCAGAAGTTTAAAGTTAGGGAGCACAATCGAACTTGCAAAGAAATTGGGAGAAATTTTACAATCGAAAATTTACGTCCAAAAAAATCATACCCATGTAATTTTGCATCCGAATTTACATGAGATGTGACTTTTTCGGATGTAAAATTTCAAAAAATTGTGATATCATATTCCATATAAAATTTCTCAATAAAATAATGAAAATTATATTGAGAAATTTGTATCGCAAAAATAATAAATGTTAATGAAATAATTGAATTTTTTTTTACAAAAAATGCGAGTTAGACGCCTTTCTTTAAGACTCACATTTAACTATTTTCGATATTTATTTGATAACTTTGTTTTAGATTAAAATTTAGATTTCAATCGATATCAAATATAACTTTACAAAAAAAAAAAATCAAAAGTTGAGGGGCACGTGCCCCCAGGACCCCCTTAAGTCCGTCCCTGATTGTGCACTCAAAAACAATTGACGTTGTAGCTTTATATATTCTGTTAATTTTTCACCTAATATTTTAAATTTCAATATAAGATTTAGACATCCTTAAAAATATTTACACTTTTAAATATGACAGCGATATTGTCTTCGAATGTGATATAAATGAACACCTGTAAATACAGTCAACGGTTATCAAGAATGCACTTGGACTACTCGAGGGATGATTGGATGTGTGAGATGCAAATGAGGTCAAATGTTAAAATTAACAAGTAACATAGGCGATTGACTTATATATTTGACAAAACTTCGAAGAAATTTACGGAAAACTTCAGAAAAATAGAGGAAAATTTGTTGGAATATTTTAGGATAAAGAAGAGAGACCAAGATGATTTTGTAACTGGATATTCCATGCAAGAAGATATAAGAAATTTGTTAGAGTTGATTAAACATTCGTAGTAGCATATCAACAACAACAGGAAAAAAAAAAAGTGCAAGAGTACCTTATCGAAAGCCTTTCCATGTGTCGCGAACTGGGATCGCTCGCCATATATATATAATCAATCTCTCATGATCTATGGCCATCAAATGGGGGTCAAATGTGATATGAATAATTTAAAGGGCAAAGCCATTTGTACCCGGACGTTTACACGCCCGGGTACACGACCCCACCGAGGGGGGCCCGAGGTGAATAAAATAATGGGGCGGGCCCTCCCATTGTGTGTGGGGGGCGTGGGGCCGGGTACACGGGCATGTAAACGCCCGTGTACGAATAACATGATCCTAATTTAAATTGTAGAGTATTGAAATTTATAATTTATTAAATGCAATCATTATTAATTAAGAATAGAACTTTCATGCCTAAATTTCAGCACAATATAGAAGGTAAAAAAGAATTTTCGAACTACTAACACCTTGATAACAAGAAAACACCTTTGAAGACTAAATATTGAGATCACCAACAACAAAAATGACAAAGACAATAAGGGTATAAAATGAAGCCACAAAGACACTAAAATCCTAAACCACCAGCTTAAACTTCAAATGGAAACAACACAAATCACAGAGAACAAAATTTAACATTCGAACTCTTACTCTTCATCATCAAGTAATAACAAACAACATAATAGATTGGAATAGTAAATCTTCAACAAAGAAAGGGAAAAAAAAAAAAAGAACTTTCAAATCCGAATATTCGGCTCAAATATAGAAGACGAAAAAGAATGTTTGAACTTTCAACACTTTATCAGTAAAGAAAACATTTGAAGACTAAACCTCGAGGTCACGAGCAAAAAAATAGCATCTTTAAAAAGTAGATTTTAGAACAAAGACAATAAGGATCTATTTTATTGGGTTTAAATTCCATGAAAATGTCACATTCGAGGAATTCAATTCCTATTTTGACTGTTTGGTACGAAAGTGGAAATGGAGTTCGAATCCTAATATACAACCACTTTAAGCTTTTTTTTTTTTTTTTTGCCAAACATGCTCTAAGTTCCCACGCAGACAATACACACAGGCAAGTTAATTGAAGAAATCACACGTATTTCGTAGGTTCATAGAAAAATCTAAAAGTTCCGCCGAACATTAGAAATCACATATACCCTCTTCTTTTATCTACGTGTAATGAAGAACTCATTTTTATCCACTTATTATTCACATATTTTATATGTGTCTCGTGGCTTATACTCTAAAAGTTTTGGCAAACATGTTTAGAAATCTGAATAAAATGGCCCACGCTCCACGACAAGAATGGGACCCACTTTCTGGTCAACTGCGTACACACACACACAACTACTGCGTATAAAAAATCAAAAAGGCAAACTGACACAATTTCCAGATTTTAAGGCCCCATTCATGCTCATTTCCAATGAAGACTGTCTCAAATACACAGTTTCTTCTGGCCACAGTAACGGCTATTTTTTCACTCTGCTATGGGAAACCAATAATATTATATACTACTATTTATATAACTTTTGAGACCCCATTATTTTTTTTCTAAGAGTGTATTTTAAAATAATAAATTAATAAATAATGTATACTTAAAAAAATAATAATTTTTTTTTTGAATTTGAGTGTAATATTATTTTTTTTTATTAAAAATGGGTGGGTAAAAAAGAGAGAAAGAAAAATGTATTTTGAAAAAAATAAGAATCAAACAAGAACATAATAATAACCCATGTTTGGCGGAAATACATAACCATCTTTTCCTGTAGAATTTCCACCTGAAAAGGCAATAAAATGATGGATTAAAGATCAAGACATTTGATGCGCACGCCCATGCTGAGAAAACAGTTAAAAGAAGAGTTACTTTACGGCAAATTTTTTTAAAAGGTCAGAGAATGCGGGATGTAAGTTGCAATACACATTAAGCAACTTAAAAAAGTTTAAACAAATGATTAACATTCATAATGCAAAAGAATAAACGAGTACATAAGATTGAATCCTTCCAAAAAAATCATTTCAATTTTGATTTTCTTGTTTTCATTTTGGTGGGGTGGGGTGAATTCAGGTGGGCGAAGGCAGTGTTGTTGGATCAGCAGATGAAGGAATTTCCGGGCCTATTCTGCAGCCTTCAAGCATGAAAACAACATCAGTCATGGATGGTCTTTCAATAGGGTCGGGCATTGTGCAAAGCAATCCAACTTTCACTCCCAACAAGAACTCTTCCCATTCCGATGACTCGGGATCAAGCTCGAGCAAGCCCGGCTCCAGCAATTCCGATACTTGGCCACTTTGTAATTGTCGCTTCACCCATTTCACAATGTCCTCGTCTTGTGTGAACATCACCGGTTTCTTCCCCGTTAGTATCTCTAACACCACAATGCCAAAACTATATACATCCGCTTCTTTCGTTGGTTGCCCCGTTAAAGTGACTTCCGGTGCTACGTAGCCAAGAGTTCCGACCGGGGTGGCAGATGTGGAAGCTTCAGCTGGGGTAGCTTTTGTTAGTTTATCCAACCCGAAATCAGAAAGATGGGCTTCAAAATCGGCATCAAAGAGTACATTTTGTGGCTTTACATCCTCGTGTATTATTGAGATTGAATGCAGGAATGCTAGGCCACGGGCTATGCCTAGTGCAATCAGGTGGCGCATAGGCCAATTCAGTACATGCCCTTCTTGATGTGAAGCCTCTTGGAGAAGGGTTGCTAAATTCCCATTAGGCATGTAGTCATAGACTATAAGTCGCATATCTGGTGGTGGTCCAGCGTAGTATCCACGAACAACTGTCAAATTTCGATGTCTAACCTTTCCGAGGGATTCGGCTTCTTTCCGGAAAGTGTTCACATCTATGGATGTGTCAGGTAGACGACGTATGGCAAGCACCATTCCATCTGCATAAGTGGCTTTGAATAATAGCCCGTATTTGCCCCGACTTAATACATTTTCCTCGTCGAACTGTCTCGTTGCCTCGACTGTCTCTGCATATGTGATCTTATTGTTGAACATAACAAGCTTTGGCACGCCGTTTTCACCACTTCCACGCGCCCCTTCTGCACCAGGACTCGGGCTTCGCTTTGCCTTTTTCTCTCCAGCAGCCCCAGCTCTCAGCTTCTTCCGCCACCTTAAAAGGCCATATATGTATCCACAACAACACAATGCCAAAATAAAACTTCCCAATGCAGCCACAACTACGAGAATAATAAATCTCTTTCTCTTTCGACTCTTCACGTTCTTGCAATCTTTCTTCAATGGTTTCCCACATAAATTCGCGTTCATAGCATACACGGAAGGATCGCTGAATCTTGAAGCCAATGCATCCGGCACCTTACCCTCGAGACGATTATGGGACAGATTCAAGTACTTCAAGCTTGAAATAAATGCAAGATTAGCCGGAATGGCTCCAGTCAGATAATTGAAAGAGAGATCCAGTGTCGTTAAGTTTGATAACTTCGACAATGAGTCTGGAATGCGCCCTGAGATCTGATTTGAATCCAATAACAGAATAACAACTGATGAACAGTTAGAAATACTTCCCGGGATTTCACCCGTTAAACTGTTCTGACCTAAATCAAGCCTTTGCAGACGATTTAAATGTGAAAAATCAGCTGGAATCTCGCCCGTCATGTCATTTCCTCGGATCTCCAAAACTTCAAGACTAGAACAATTGCTCAGCTCAACTGGAATTGAACTACTTATACGATTATGAGAAAATGAAAGAACAGTCAAGGATCTCAGAAATCCATAAGTGGCCGGAATATCACCGGAAAAAGCATTTGATGAAAGATTCAGATATTGTAAACTCGATAAACTGCTAAAACCTTCTGGCACATCGCCAGATAACAAATTATTGTCCAATGCAACGACTTCCAAACTAGGCAATCCATAGAGCTCAATAGGCAACTCTCCGGACAAGTTTTGTTTACTCAAATCAAGAGTTTTGAGCCTCAATAAATTCTCAATACTCCCTGGAATCGCTCCCGAAAACCCACAACCGCTCATATTCAGAACCTCTAACCCCTTCAGTTCCCCAACATTCAAGAGCACTTCACCTGAAAATCTATTGTTACTTAAATTTAGAGTGCTCAAATTGGCAAGCCTCATGAAACCTGTAGACAAATTCCCAGTCAACTTATTATCACTTAAATCCAACAATTCCAGCTGGTAAAGTTCCCCCAAGCTTACTGGAACTGTACCCGTAAATGAATTCCCACCAAGAAACAGTGCTGTCAAGTTCTTCATTTCTCCTAAAAACTCGGGAATTGAACCCGAAAATCGATTATTTCCAAGATCTAGAACTCCTAATAACCCACATTTACTTACACTCTCAGGAATTTCCCCTGTTAATGAATTATCCCCCACTCTGAACTGCTCTAAAACCTTTAAATTCTCAAAATTATTTGGTAAAACACCAGAGATTAAATTCCCAGAAATATCCAGGACCTTCAATGTAGAAAAGTTCATCAAAAAATCTGGAAATAAGACCTTTACCTGATTGTCGCGAAGGTTTAAAATTTCCAATGCACTAAAACACATGAGATTATTATCCGGTTTGACCATCCCCGTGAACCCATTGAAGCTCAAGTCAAGAATCTTGATTGCATGAGCATTTAGTGCTGTAACATTGCAGAAAAGTGACATGGGGACCACATCGGATAGCTGATTATGCGGAAGTGAGATTACTTGAAGACTATTGAGTGAACCCATTGTAGCCGGAACCACGCCGGAGAGTCTGTTATCGCCAGCGCTGATATGGATCAATGCCGAACAGTTTGAGATTGCCGATGGGATTGTGCCGTAGAGTTTATTGGAATCGACCCACAGGTACTGAAGCTGTTGTAGTGTTCCAATGGTCACAGGAATTTGACCGGAGAAGTCGTTGAACGAAAGGTTTATGAGTTGGAGTTGATGGGTTACTGAAAAATTCGACAGAATGTCGCCAGAAAATGAGTTTGAGGAGAGGTCCAGCACTCGGAGGCTCACCGGAACTTCTCCGGAAATCCCCCCTGAGAAATGGTTGTGTGCGAGGTTGAGAACCTGGAGATTGGTAAGGTTTGTGAAAAACGCAGCCGGCAGGTCGCCGGAGAATGAGTTATACTGCAAGTAAACGGCCCGTAAGAGGACACACCAAGACAAACCACCTGGTATAGACCCATTAAAGTTGTTCGAATGGAGGTTTAACCTCCGCAACTGGTGCAGGCTAGCAAGCTCCTCCGTGAGCCGGCCGCTCAGCTGGAGGCGCGGGAGGCGGAGTTCACGAACTCTACCTTGAAAACACACAATGCCCCGCCAGTCACACGGCGCAGAGGGTGTGGAAGCATTCCATTCCTCCATTGCGCCAAGTGGGTCATCAAGATTGTTTTTAAATGACAACAATGCTAGGATTTCCGACGAGGTGGCGCCGGTGGTAGTGGTGGTGGTGAGGGCGGCGCAAAAAAGCACCACCACAAGATAAACACTAGCCGTTGGCATAAGAACAAGGAGAGGGAATGAGGGATTATTGAAAGTGCGCAAATGGAGCGTATGTTAGCAGCAAATGGGGTTTTTGGAAGAGAGACTGAAAAGAACTAGGCCATATGTTGGAATAGTGTTTTATCTTTAGATTTCCCCCTCGCATAGTCGCATAGAAGGGTTTTAAAGAGAGTGAAATTAAGTAATTGCAATTTTACTTATAAGTGGATAAGTAATTTTTTTATTGGTCAAAAACTATAGATTAGTAAACCTTTCGCTAATTTATAAATAATCAAAACTTATTTTTAACCACGCATTTTGAACCAATAAGTATTTTTCATCATTTATTATTTATAAATGAAGTCGTTTATAAATTCTTTCCAAATGGAGGCTGAGTTACATGTGAGAGTAATATCTTATTTACTTTTCAAAATCAAAAAATAATTTTATTTGTCAATAAGATAGAGTGAAAAACATCTAATTTAGTCAAAATTAATTTAACTATAGAATTTCCTTCATCTTTTTTTCTTTTTTGTTGCATTTTGTTTAAAGAGTTGAAGGGGGGATAATGCATCAAACAATTCTTAAAGGCCAAAAGTAATTAATTTCCTCTGAAATCTCATGAGTAATTTTGTGTATTTAGTATTTGCTCTTTATCGTGTACAAAATTAATATGCACTTAATGCATAAATTTAACATTGGCAATAAGATCACTTATAGTTGGATTAGACACTTCATCATGGGAAAAAAGAAAAGAAAAGAAGAAGCTCGATTTCGGTTTATTATTATCCACTAGATTTCTATTCTTTGAACTGAAAGCTATGAGATTTTTCGTTTATATAATCAAGGAGTCGTCTGTTCATCCAGTTTTGATTAGTTTTTTTGTGCTTGTTCATGCTAAACAAGATGTGATTAATTCAATTTTAGCATGAATTTTAGTGAAATTCGATAAATTAAACATAGAAAAGAAATATACAACAATATTATTTGTCAGTTATATTACTTAATACTGTCCAACAGAGACGGAGATAAGGGGTCCCCCGCCAACATTGTCCGCTGGTCCACTATTCCTAATTAATTTGTAATGTATTTTTCAGTTTCATCCCCCGCATAAATTTTGACTCGCCCCCACTAAATTTTGAATTTTTTTTTCATTAATAAATATTGACTCAATAGCTTAAAAATCTTAGACCTAAACAAAATATCAAATAGTTATTTAAATAAATAAATAGCTCAAATTCAATCCAAAAGCAAATGACCCATTTATGAATCAATTACTCAAAAGCAACTACAAAACGTGCATTTTCAGCAATGAGTGTCGTTAAGATAAGGTTGCGTAATAGAATGAAAGATAATTTTTTGTCCAATAGGACCAATACCATGCTTGCGTATATAGAGAGAAGGATATTGTTGATACTTTTCCATTAGATTCTCTTATTGATAAATTTGAAGTGATGAGGACAAGGAGAGATCAATTTCAGATATCCAAGTCATCTCTACCATCTGTTATATAGATAAGTAGTTTACTTTTTGTCTTTTTTATATCCATCTAACGTTCGTGTTCTCAATTTGTATAGCGTTAGACACATAGATAGACATATTGTTTTTGTATCGACAAACTAATTGTCTTTTTTGTCAATCAATCTAACTTGCATATTTTGGTACTCAAAATTGTCGTTTTCAATCCTCGTATTTAAAAAAAAATTCGGGGACGGAGCCCTCAAACCCCCAGGAGGGGGCCCGCCCCCCCTCCACCCCCCGTATTTTCGGCCCCGCAAGATTAAAATCCTGACTACGTCCTTGGTGTCCAATTTAATATATCTAACATGGTATTACAACCCTACATATTTAAGTAGTCATCTTTTGATTGTGAGCAATGCAATAAATACCAGCCCCCGGGTTGTGTCCACAAAAGCTAGACTTTTGGACCACCCTTCCCCCATTTTACCGGGGGGACAATTTTTTTGCATTTTAGAATATAATTTTTGGAGATTGACGTTGACCCTATCTTTTCTGTCCCAGATTCATGAAATATATATGTTCTTCATTTAATGTATGACCCAAAAATTCATTGATTGATTGAAACAAGAGGGAATAGATTATTTAAGCGGATTTAAATAAGACGTATGTTTTGAAGAATAACGAGTTTATTAGTCCGATTCGATATATATAACGTAAATTCGTAAAAAACTGTTCAGTTCTGTTAGCTATTTATTACATAAGAATGTCATCCCTTTGAGGTTATCGGTAAATTCAGTTGTTATATCCTGTGCGAGGATATAGAGTGTCCGAGAAAATTAATTAATTAAGCAGAGTGGAGCGGTAAATAAAAAAATAATAATCCTAACCCACCTAGACTCGCGAAAATTACGAGCATAAACAACTTAAAATTAACTCGATAAAAATTGATTATTTTAGTAGTTTCTTAACTCGAAATCCGGCAATGAATTCATAAGAATTTGTTATTATCTGAGCTAACAAAGTTAAATTACTTAATTAATGTAGTATTACTTGCTTCTAAACTCGGAAAAACCGCCATAGACAGATCTGAAAAGGCTGTAATTTTGGTAATAAAATATGAATGATGTTTTTAATGTAGATACAAATTTGCCGCCTATCTTAGATTTCAAGTGGTCGTTTAAGAACAAAAACTCAAATTACGGGCATGTTCGGAAGAGATTAAAATCAGATTAAAATTGAAAAATTAGCTATTATTGTTGAATTTTATTGGACGAGTGGGACTCAATAACAACTATATTTTCAATTTTAATTGGATTTTAATATTTACCAAACGAGCTCTGCACGTCTCACGTCACTTTAGTTAAAGTTTGACTTGTGAATTCATAATTATTCATTGCGCAATCTTAACTAATTTGTTGATTTTCAAGATAAACTACTTAATATAGTCGTAACGTGGAACTAATCAAGCCCGCAAATATGTGAATGAGATAATAAACACATCTCTAGAACAAAATTAGTTGAAAAGCAAATACTCTAATGATTGAAATGCGAGTAAGTCACTATGGAGAACTTCTACTGCGAACTAATATTGTTAAATGTTGAATTTAAAGATTCGTAGTCTTTGAATACATATTGGAGGATGGAATTTAAAAAAATATTTTTTAAAACTTTATATAATGCTCTTTACATGATCTAATGGTTCCTGATAAATTTAGTTTATACACTTATTCATGGTCCTAAATTATGATATTTTATTGTCTTTTGGATTAAATTCTACATAATTTATGTTAAAATGTGTTTTGTAGGTAAAACTTTATGTTTAATGAAGAATTGAAAAAAATAATGTAAAAGTGGCGAAAAATGAAAAAATTCAAAGATGAAAAGTTGGAGAGAAATATTACATTAAATGGGTTCAAGTTCAATGGGACTCAATAGACTTGAATTATAAATTGAGGAAATTACATAATTCCAGGTATTTAAATATCACAATTCAAAAATCAAGGCTAAAGTTTCATTATGCATAAATCAGGTATCTATAAATTAAATATTACCCACCCAATTTACAAACCCTAACAATTTCAATTCTCATTTTCTCTCTCTCTCTACATCTCTCATTCTCTCCTTTCTTTTCCCTCTACGCTGCAACCGTTGAAACTCCGGCGACCGACGACTAAACTGCACCAGCCAATACACCTCCTCCCACAAGTGTCGCTACCAGATCGCCATCTTCTTCCAATCATCGCGATGGGGCGACGCTCATCTTCACGTGCAGCGGTGAAGCAACGCCGATCTGCTCGACAATGGTGATTAGGTCTGGTGTGATGAGATCTGCTCGGTGATGGTGATTAGGTCTGGTGATGGCTTCTCTCTCATCGACGATTAGAGAGGCTCTGGTGATTAGGTCCTGCGGTGGGTGAGATCTGCTCGGTGATGGTGGGCTGGATAAATATAGTTAGTGTGGTTGTGGGGTGACGGTGTGGTGCCGATGGTTGTGCAGTGACTTGGGATAGGTTTTGTGGATGGTTTTTGCAGGTGGTTGTGGTTGTGTTTTTTAGGTGGTGTTGATGGCGGTGCTGTTGTGACTGCGGTGGTTGTGTAGTGATTTTGGATGCGGTTTCGTGGATGGTTTTTGCAGGTGGTAGTGGTAGTGCTGTTGAGGTGGTGGTGATGGCGGTGCTGGTTATAGTTATGGTGGAAATTTAGTTTTACAATCTTCATCAAATGCAACAATGACACCTTCAGTACTGCCACTCAACACTACCACCACCAGCAACAAGTTCTGTGACCGAAATTCGGTAATCTGTGACTAAAATATAATCCGTGACCAACCATTTTTTTAATCTGTGATCTAAAAATTATACAAGCTGTGACCTTGAAAAAATATGCGATCAACTAATTTTGAAATTTGTGACCGTATGACCTATAAAATTTGATTTGTGACCAACTAATTTTGAAATTTGTGACCAACGAATTAATTGTGACCTACAAAATTTTTGAACTGTGACCGTAAAATAATCTGTGACTTATAAAAATTATAATTTATGACTAAAAAATAATATGTGACTAACTATATTGTAAATCTATGACCGAATGATCGTCAGAATAGTCGCCGGAATAATTGTCGGAATCGGGGCAGTCGTCTGAACGGTCGCCGGAGAAGAGTGCTGGTCGGAATGGTCGTCGGAGCGGGGTGGTGTAGGTGGGGTGGGTTAATTATATTATATTATATTGTATTAGAATTAAATATTTAATAATTAATTGATTTAATAATTTATTATTTCATAAATAAAAGTTAAAAAAAACTTGATTTTTGAATTTTCAAACTATATACCTGATTTTTGAATTGGTGTAACTTATACACCTTATTTATGAATTTTTCCCTTGTAAATTTTAATTTGAGGCCCAAATAATGGATGTCAAAA